AAAATTTTAGCTCTTTATGTCTCAGAGTTGATCAACATCTCAACTCTTCCATGTGATTCCAATCTTGTACATAGGTCATGAGAATAGATTGTTTTATCTGTCGTTGGCTGCTAACTTCACCTCACACAAAATCCTCCTGTGTAATTTATAAGGAAATGTATAGCAGTTAGAGGGGGGTGCTACTGATTGGATCTTGGGAGTTAAAGACTTACCTTCTTTTTAACATAAAGTTACGACTGTTTACTCAGAGACGTTGAAATTGACATAGTTTAGAGATTCATCAATTTCTACCCATAGTCCTTAAGATCGAAGACATATCTTTTGATCGAGACGAACGAGACATAGAGACTGTCCCTAGTTTCTTATCGCACTGTCGCCTACGGAATTGTTACAAGTTCAAACAATTACAAATAAGCGGCGTTTTCACACAACATGAGGCCGACTTTTTAAAGCAATATTTGAACAATGTGAAACAAAGAAATTCAACTAACGTGAATTTATCTCCAAGTGTTGCAAATTAGTTCTAGGAGCCAATGCACCGTTAAAAAGGTAAAAAGTTACTAAATAACTTTTTGTGGAATTTTGCCTTTTACAAAGTTGTTATTAGTTCCTACGGAAAAACATATTATTTAGCTAGTCTGTCAACAATGAAAGGTGAACCCCCCGATACGTGGGGTTGTAGTTGTTTGGAATGTAGGACTAATTGATAGTTTTGTTTCCAGTCAAAAGTTGAATACACTCCAAAAGCCTTCATTATTAATCCGACTGCGCTGGAAGAATCAGAAAGGTAAGATGTCATCGCTTCCTTCGAAGTAGTTATGTCCGATGTTGTATGTTGAGTAAATTTTGTTTGGGAAGATTCAATATACAAAAGGTGACTTTGTAACCGAGAGAAGCTAAAAGGGTTACATGTCAAATTAAGGTCTGGATGATATTTTTCATAATGAAGCAAGAATATTGGAAGTACTCTCGCCAAAGCAAGATGTAAGAGAAAATCGTTGGATAAGTCAACACAATTTTAATAATATAATTTAATTTAAATTTCGTCGTTAATCGTCCAAAAACATTTGAGTCGCAGTTTCATATTAAAGTTTTACCCCTCAGTTTTTAAAAGAAATGAACAGATGTGGTTTATTCAAGAGACGAAAGCTCAAAAGTACAAAGTCTGAATATAAAGAAAAATTCCATAAAATGGAACTCAGCAGTATGAAAACCAACACGAATAAAATAATCTGTACCATGAAATTTATAATTTAGAGATTCAGCAAAAGATCAATCGACGGGTCACTCTTGTGTGAAATTAAACGAGCTACGTGGCATTGGTGATTTGTTGACTAGTTCGAAGCCTTACAGCTGGAGGGCGATTACACTGAAAAGTGCAAAGAAAAGGAATTTTTTTTCTTTTTTTATTTAAGTTAAATTTAAGGACAGTGCATGAACATGCACGGGCCTTGCATTGGTAACTTATGAACTAAGAAGACTCACCCTTCACTGCTCGTTCAGGGGCAGCAATTTGGTTTCATTCTTTTCCTTTATGACTTTAAAAAAACAATATTTTCTTTTAATCTCCATCCGCAGGATCAAAAATTGATTCTACAAGGATATTAAGTTTAAAAATGATATCAACAGAAAGTAGTTTTGTAGTACAGTGATTTGATGATTTCCTTTCATTTTCCCACAGATGCCAACCGCAGGCAAGGACATTATTGGCTTGTGGCTTATCGTATTGGCTGCAGTGAATCTTTCCCAAGGTAAATAACGTTATAATCCATTCCACTATCAAAATGAATTCCTCTCTTTTTTGCTGATAAAAAATACGGTATTATCAATTGCCAGAATTCTATACGTGGAACGAACAAAAATTCTCCTAAATTCCCAAAACTGGTTTCTTGGCTCAGTTGTCAGAAGCGCTCAACCAACCGGCATATGTAGGCACTGGTTCTATACTCGTCGAAGCTTTCTTCTGCAATGACGTTCGATTCACTTCAGTTAACCAGCTGTAAAGAACACATCTTTCCTTTCCATGTGAGAGATACTAGGCTTTCATGTATTCCGGGTTTATAGCCCTGAATTGAAAGAAATTTCTGGTAAAGTATGCTCGGCAAAGAGATTGATTTCTTACAGGTCACTAGATTCAAAGGCTCACCAAAGATGAGTTTCAAGTTAATGCATTTTTCTCTCTGTTTAGCCGCTTCATCCGATTGTGAGAATCCTCCATTAGACATATCTATCGTGATCGATCAAACAAAGAGCGTAGGAGCGGACAACTATGACGCCATGTTGGATTCGGTCATGGCACTCATTTCGCAGTATGATGTCGGTGAAGACAAGACACACTTCTCCATCGTAACTTATGCAAAAGATGCACAAGTTCGTGTCAGCTTTGACGACCCAAAATATCAAAATAAAGCGGCTCTTCGTGCACTCATTGAAGAAATGAAGGAGAAGGACAAGTTGGGGAACCCGACGAGGACTGACAACGCCTTGAAAGTGGTCGGCGAGGACGTGTTCAACGAAAAGAATGGAGATCGACCGGAATCACCAAACGTCATGATCATCTTCACTG